GAAGGAGGAGGAGGAGGAGGAGGAGGAGGAGGAGGAGGAGGAGGAGGAGGAGGAGGAGGAGAAGGCGGAGGATGCGGAGGAGGGCCTCGGAAGCCACGGAGGCCGAGCGTGTGGCAAGTCCGGATCGTGACGGCCCCGGTCCAGTGCCGGCCTCCGACGGCGCGCTGGGCCGCGCTCTTCGGCTCGAGCGGTCGGCGGCGCCTCGATCGCCAGGCCGCTCCACGTCGGGTGTCGAAGGGCCCAGAGATCCAACGTATTGAAACATCAAGACGGAGCTTTTCGCAGTTTTCGGCCTCGAGGGGCCCTCGCTGGGCCCCAGGACCGCCAAATAACGACTCTGCACGAAAAAGCGGTCCTCGGGAATGGGTCGAGACTTCTGAGGACCCCGCACTGGAAAAATCACGACATCGGATCTCTGAGGGCCTGGCGGGCGATGGGGGGGCCGATGTCGTGGGGCTCGAGCTCTCGCTTCGAGGAGGCTCGACCGACGGGCTCGACGCGGGTGCGGGCAGCTGCCAGCCGAGGCCGCTTCCCCATACCGCGCTGCGCACACGTCCGACTCCAGCGGGAAGTAGAGAATGCGGGCCATCATCACCAACATCATCCATCGTCATCATCATTACCATCGTCATGATCATGATCACCATCACAAGCACCATTATCATCACCATTACCATCATCCTACTCCTCCTCATCATCATCATCACCATCATCACCATCACCACCACCATCACCGTCAACATCAACATAATCATCACCACCACCATCATCATCAACAACATCAGCATCAGCATCAGCATGAGCATCATCAATATCATCATCATCATCGTCATCATTATCATCATCATCATCATGGTCATCACCGTCGAACTGATCACCACCATCATCCTCATCCTCATCCTCATCCTCCTCCTCATCATCATCATTATCATCGCCGTCGTCAGCATCGTCATCATCATCATCATCATCATCATCATCATCATCATCATCATCATCATCATCATCATCATCATCATCATCATCATCATTCATCATCATCATCATCATCATCATCACCATCATCACCATCCATCATCATCATAACCATCACCATCACCATCACCGTCACCATCACCATCATCAACATCAACATCATAATCTTTATCATCATCTTCAACAACGGGCGAAGGCCGAATAATGTCATGATGCGATTGGCTCAGGGTGCGTTCTGGGAATCTGGAGTTTCGGGCGGCTCTCGGCCATCCGTACTCGGCCGTTTGTCTCAGGCCGCGCGGGGCAACACGAAAGCCTGTAAATCTGGAAGGTATCATTAACAACACTTTTCGCTCCTCTGAGCGAGGACCAAGTCTCCTGCGGCCTATCTCGTTTTTTGTTTCATGTTTGTTTTCTTTCTCCCCCCCTCTCTCTCATATATATATGTATATCTCACTCTCTCTCTATCAATCACCACAGCAAGGCAACGCCGCGGCGTGAGGTAGAGGTACGCACGCCCGGCGGCCGTCGCATCGCACGCGCCCGCATCCTAAACTTCCAAGGAGCATGAAAGCGCGTACGCTGAGGGGTCTCTGGACCTTCGGGGGGCCTGTCTTTGCCTCCCCAGGGGGGCCGTGTCGGGCCCCAGGACCGTCCGACATCGATCCGGGAAAGAAGAACACCGGAAACAGAAACGGCCTGGACGCACCCACGGGGCCGATGTTGAACGGACTGCGAAATTTGGACGAGGAGGATCGATAATCTTAGGTCGGGCATGTCCTTCAAAGAGATTTTGGAGGACAACATCAAACACCAGTCAAACGATAAGCAACAATAGTCAAACAATGATATATATATATATATATGTGTGTATATATATATATATATATCAGGCAGCATTGACTCCAAATAGATCGGAATACATGAGGAGGACGAGAGGAGGATGGGAGGAGGACGAAAGGGACGGGAGCAGGACGGGAGGAGAACGGGGGGAGCAACATCAAGCAAGCGCAAGCAAGCAAGCGGAAGCAAGCAAGCGCAAGAGAGCAATAACAAGCAAAAAAGAGCCAGCGATCAAGTGAAAGCAAGCAAGGGCAAGCAAGAGCAAGCAAGCAAGAGCAAGCACGCAAGAGCAAGCAAGCAAGAGCACGCAAGAGCAAGCAAGGGCAAGCGACTCGTAGGAATTCATAGGAATCCATAGGACTCGCCATTGGAAATAGCTGGGGGGTGCCATTGGAAATAGGGGGGGTGCCATTGGAATTAGGAGGGTGGGGGCATAGGAATTAGGGGGGCGGGGGGGGGGGCAACGGACCAATTAGTAGGGTTTGAGTTAGAACGCCTATAGGGCAGGCCTATGAAAAAAAAGATCGTGCCCAGTCCATTTTTTAACACTCTTGAGTATTCCTCCTGCAGAGGGACATGCCCGACTCAACGATCATCGAGGGTAAAGGTCCTTCGAGGACCGTTCTTGCTTTGGGGACCCACGTCGTGGAAAATACAAGCCCGATAATGCGATGTCCTGATTTCTGAAGTACGGGGTCCCCCGAAGTCCCGACCCTTTTCCCAGGGCCGATCTTTCGTCCCGAGTCCTTTCCGGACGGTCCCGGGGCCTGGCGAGGGCCCCCGGAGGCCCGAAAAGGCCAGAAGCTTCCCGTTGTAATTTTTCTCCACGACGCGAGCAGGCAGCGCGTCTGGGACGACGGCGGAGGCCTGGGGTCGGCGAGCAGACCTTCGGGCCTCCGAGGTGCGACAGGCCAGGGCGTGGCCAAGAGCGGCGACCTCGGCCCCGCCCGGATCGCTCCTCGGCCAGCGCAGGTGCTGCTCGATGACTGTCCCAGGGCCACAAAGAATTCTCAGGCGAAGCGCCCGGCCCGCCTTAAAAACTGGCCTCGGGGTGCGACAGGGAGAAATTATTCCCGAATCAGAGCTTGCCTCTGTAGGGGTCCTAGCAAATTCATGTGGTTAGGTGTGGTTCATCGCCGATTTCGGTGGCCGGCCCGGGTGCCCGGGTGCCCCGGTGCCCGGGTGCCCGGGCGCCCAGGCGTGCCCAGGTGCCCGGGAACCCTATAGCCCTATAGCCCAACAGCCCTATAGCCCTAATAGCCCTACAGCCCTATAGCCCTAATAGCCATATAGTCCTATAGCCCTGTAGCCCTATAGCCCTATAACCCTAAAGCCCTATAGCCCTGCAGTCCTATAGCCCTATTGCCCTTCAGGCTTCCAGCCCTACTAGCCCTAAAAGACCTATAGACTTATAGCCCTAATAGCCTTCTAGCCCTATAGGCCAATAGCCCTGTACCCTTATAGCCCTGTAGCCTTATAGCCTTGTAGCCCTATAGCCTTATAGCCCGATAGCCCTATAGCCCTGTGGCCCTATAGCCATGTAGCCCCATAGCCCTATAGCCCAATAGCCTTATGGCCCCATAAATATTCCGATTGGGATTTTCTCTGGTGTCATTGATAATGAGAAGGAATGGAGGAGGAAGAGGAGGAGGAGCAGGAGCAGGAGCAGGATGAGGATCGATCGTATTGAGCATGCTGCGAAGCCCTACGCGACCTCCAAGAACACCGCCCCGACATTGCCGAGAGTGGTGGCCCAGCCAAGGCGGCCGTCCGTCTTGGCCTTGCACTTCATGCGCGTGAGCCCAGACTTCTCCTCCTTCTTCGGGTACTCCCTGACCTCGACAAGCTCTCCCACCTTGAGCTTTCTGGCGGCCACCTTCTTTTCTGAAGCATCTTCCTCGAGGTCGAAGCATTCGGTCATGATGGTTTCCTTCACCACCTTGAACATCTTGCCACCCTCCCTGAGGAACACCGCGCCATTGTCATCTGTCACGGTCACGTAGCCCTCGGCGCCGTCCTTGATGGCGACCACCTTTGCGCGCTTGGTCTTCCCTTCTTCGACGGGAACCTCGACCACCTCGACCACCTCTCCCTTATCCAGCTGCCTCACCGCGTCACTGTCGGCGGCCGCTTCCTTCGAGAGTTTGGTCTCCACTACAACTTTCATGACAGAAATCATGATCATCCCAAAGCGGCCTTTGGACAGGAAGCCCTCTTCATCCTCGTCCAGGCTCTTGAACACCTTGGACAGGCTCTCGGCCGTGGGGGCGGGCTCCAGCTCGTCCTCGCCGCCGCCGCTGGCCTCGGCCTCGCCCTCCTTCTTCTCCGCCCTGGCCTTCGGCGGGCGCTTGCAGCTCTCGAAAAACTTGACGAACTCGGCCTCGCAGACCTTGCCGTCCTTATCGGCGTCGAAGAGCTCAAACAGCTGCTCCTTGCGGAGCTTATTCTCCCGCTGGTGGAACCTCATGATGGCGAGAGCGCGGCCCTCGACCACGGCGAGCTCGGCCAGCTCCTTCCTCTTGGCGATGTCGCGCAGCTTGGCCACAGTGGCCGTCGCCTTGCTCGTCCTCGCGTCCCAGGCCTTCATCTTCGCCTCGAGCGGCCGGAGCTCGCCCGTCGCCCACGCTCGGATGTCGTCCTCGATGCCCTCCGCCAGGCTCTTCATGGCCCCCCTCGTCTTCTCGACGTCCTCTTTCGCCTCCGCGACCAGCTTGTCCAAGTCGTCTGCCTCTCCCGCCATGCCCGAGGCCTCCGTCTTCGAAGCCCTGCCGAATGCCGTCGCCGCCGCCACGTCCGCCTTCTTGACGAGCTCCTCCGAAGCAAGGATCGCCTCCAGCGCTTTGGCGATCTGCTCACTGGCCTCCTTCTTCATCCCCTCGAGCACCGCCTCCTTCTCCAATCGCTCCTTCTTCCGCGCCTCGTCCTTTTCCATCTCGCGGGCGCAGCCGATCATCACCTTGAGCCTCTGGAAATCATCCCTCTGCACGCCCCTCTCTGCGCCGAGGAGGGCGAACATCTGCTTGAGGGCCGCGTCGCTCAGCGTGAACTTGAAGGTGGCTTTCGCGTAATATTTGATCTCGCCTTTGCTCATGAAGCCATCCTTGGCCTTGTTGAACTTGGCAAAAGTGGCGGACATGGCCTCCATCATCTTCGTTGCCCTGGCCTTCTTCGCCATCTTGGCCAGCGTGGCCTTCGCAAAATTGATGGCAATCTCCGCCTCGCGGGTGTGCTCCGAGTTCTTGCTGAATGCCTTGGTGATCCCGGCGGCGATGTCTACCGCGCCCTCCTTCGGAGGGACCTTCATCTTCTGGCTGTTCTCCCTGAGAAAATCCGCCACCGACTTCACCTTCTCCTTGGCCTTGTTGCCCATCTCCTCAACGGCCTTGGCCGTCTTCTCCACAAGGGCCATGCTCATCTCGGCCGCCTCCTTCAGCGGCTCGCTCTTCTCCTTCATCTCCTGGACCATGGTCTCGGACTGCTCTCCGAGGGCCTCGAGCTCCTTCAGGAGCTTCTCAGCAGTCTCCCTCGCCTCCTTCCGCTGCAACTCCATGGCGGCCTTCTTCGCCTCCAGCTCCCTTTTCTGGGCGAGGAGCTGCTCGATGCGCTGCGTGGCCATCTGGACCCCCTTCTCTGCCTCCTCCTGCATCTTCGCCGTCTGAGCGCCGCAGTTCCCGAGCTCCTTCGCGAGGGTCGTCTGGAGCTCCGCCTTGACTTCATCTATGGACTCAGGCGTCGCAGTGCGAAGCTTCGTGATTACCCTACGGATTGTCAGCGTGGAGGCCTGCTCCTGGCGCTTCCTCGCCATCTCTGCCTCCTTCTTCTGCTTCTCCTCCTCCTGCTTCCTCTTGAGCTCTTCCTGCTGCCTCTTCATCTCCTCGATCTTCTGCATCTGCGCCTGCATCGCCATCTGCTGGGACTGCTGATCCTTGCCGCCCTTGCCGTAGCCGCCCTTGGCCCCGCCCTTGGGGTCTCCCTTGGGCCCGCCCTTCTGGGCGGCACCCCAGCCCTGCTGCGGGCCGCCCTTCTGCTGCTGGCCTCCCCACTGCTGCTGGCCCTGCTGCATCTGCTGCTGCTGCATCTGCTGCTGCTGCATCTGCTGCTGCTGCATCTGCTGCTGCTGCATCTGCTGCTGCTGCATCTGCTGCATCTGCAGCTGCATCTGCTGCTGCTGCTGCTGCTGCTGCTGCTGCTGGCCGCCCCAGGCCTGCCCGGCCCCGCCCGCGATGGCGAAGGTCGGGTCGACGGGCCCATCGCAGGGCACCTTCCAACCGCTCTTCGGCGGGGTCGCGATGTTGCCCGGGTGGTAGGCCCAGACCTGGTCGCCCCCGACCTTCGGCCCGAACCACCAGCCGCTGAACGCCTTCCCGTCACGCTCGTCCCAGAAGTACAGCATCACGTCAAGGCCGTTGACCTGCGTATCCTTCTTATACGTGGGCTTCCCGTGGTTCTGCGACGCCATGGTGTAAGAGCCGCGGACGATGGCTCCCACGGTCCCGTGGGAGCAACCGCTGACCGAAATCGCTCTATCGTTGCCCACGCCGCCGTCGCCAGCGCCGCCGGCTCCGCCTTTGGCGGCCGCGGCCATTTGCGAGGCCATCATCTGCTGCTGCATCGCGGCCATCATCATCTGCTGCTGCTGCTGCGGCGATGCCATGCTGCAAACGACCGCGGCCGCTGCCCTCCCAGCCAGCGGCGGGGCCAGGCCGCTGGCCAATGGCGCGGGGGGCGGGTGACGGGAAGGCGCGCCCTTGAGCCGCAATGGCTACGGTAGGATGAGGATGAGGATGAGGATGAGGATGAAGGGGATGATGATGCTGATGCTGATGCTGATGCTGATGCTGATGATGATGAGGAGGAGGAGGAGGAGGAGGAGGAGGGGGAGGAGGAGGGGGAGGAGGGGGAGGGAGGAGGAGGAACAGGAGGAACAGGAGGAGGCCCTAGAGGCTCGGCCGCTGGGCGCCCCAGCAGGCGCGGGCCTCGGCCTCGGGCGGCGCCGCGTCGGCCCGCGCACCGCCGGGGGTGGCGCCGCCGCGCGGCAGGCCCCGCGGCGCGGGCCCCGCGGGAGGCAGTCCGGCGCGGGGGCCCGCCGCGGAGGCCGCCGCGGCAGGCGCGGGCCCGCGCCGTTCCTGGCCGGCCCCGATCGCACTCCCAGCGGCCACACGTCGCCCAGACCCCCTCGCGTTGTGAAAACATCGGGGCGGGACGTTCTTTCGCTATCTTCGGCCTCCGGGGGCCCTTGCCGGGCCTCGCGACCGTCAGAAACCGACTCAGGATGAGAAGCCGGTCCCGGGGAAGGGGTCCAGATGTCTGGGTGTCGACGTTGCGAATCACGACGTCGGGGATCTGGGAAGGGTGACCATGGGTAAGAGTGACCTCAGGTGCGCGGCTTCTTGAGGGTCGCTGGGGGACCAAACACAAGCGCACAAGGCGCTACTATCGCACCGCACGCGACGATCGGAGGGTGCCAAAGGGCGCGCACCAGAGGTCACTCCAGCGAAGGGCCACTCGTACGTGTAGTCAACCCCACCCCTGAGGCTGAGAAGATCGATGATTGTGTTGGGAGGAAGGGGTTGGGAGGATACCGGGTACGACTTTGTCATGCGTACCTGCAAAACATACGCGGTAACATTGATGACATGATCATCTCTCCCAGTCCCAGCCTCCCAACCCGATGATCTGCCTTTCTGAGAGACAGACACGCCGCAATGCGATGACAATCGGAGGGGGGCTCCCTCAGAAGCTGAGGGGGTCCTTCCCAGACGAGGGAGTTTTTTTCGATACGGGGTCCCCCGAAGTCCCGACTCTTCCCCCGGGGCCACAGTTTTTCATCCCGAGTCGTTTTTTTGACAGTCCCCGGGCCCAGCGAGGGCCCCTGGAGGCCGAACGCGGCCAAACAACTCCCGTCGTGCTTTTTCTCGCAACGCGTGAGCACATCTGGGTTAGGATCGGCATTGAGATCAAGTGATGCAACTCAGCCTGTCGAACTGCGCGCAGGGACGCTGCTGTGCGTAGGGGTGACCTCCCCCCACGGGCCACTTCTCTGAGAGAGCACCACCTACCAAGACCCCTCGGGCCATGAAGCAACAATCACGATGGGAGGCTTTTCTCTACAGGGAAGCTGGAAAAAGTGGAAGGTGGAAAATCAGTGAAAGTGGCAGTGGCCAGGGCTGGAAACACTGACAGGGGGTGAAGCGAGCCCGAAGCAGTAGGGATGCGGTCGCCAGGGCTGGACACAGAAATGAAGGGAAGCTGGCCAGGGCTGGAAAGAGTGGAAGGGCTGGCCCCGGTCACCTTTTCCACCTTCCATGTGCTTTCGCCCTCTGGGGGCCGCCGGTGGGCGTGGGGATCTCTTCCAGGCGGGTGCGGTCCGCTAGCAGCAGCGCCGGCAGGCCGGCGGACGCCCGCGTCCGCGGACGGGGCGGCTGCGCGCTGGCCTCTGGCGCTGGCGTGGGCTGGGGCCTGTCTGCCACCACCTGGGCTCCGAAGCAATTTGAGCGTTTTTTTGGTTGGTGGAGGAGATTTTTTATTTTTTTATTTTTATTTTTCCCAACCATCCTGTGGTGTTGGGTTCTCGTTTTGACGAGAAAGCACCCCGTGGCCCCATGGGGAGCTCCACCGAAGGCCCCAATGGCAGCGCCCTCATGCAGTGGCAGCCTCATTTTCGGTGCACCCCTCACACATTCCGTGGCCCCATAGGGAGCTCCACCGAAGGCGCCAGTGCCAGCGCCCGCATGCGGTTCCACCCCCATTTCGGTGCACCCCTCACACGTTTCGTGGTTCCATAGGGAGCTCCACCGAGGGCCCCAGTGGAAGCGCCATCATGCAGTGTCACCCTCTATTTCGGCGAATCCATCGCACGCTTCGCGGCCCCATATGGAGCTCCACCGAAGGCCTGCTGCGCCCGCATGTGGTTCTACCCTCCATTTCGGCGAATCCATCGCACGCTGGTGGCCGCATAAGGATCTCCACCGGTGGCCCCAGCGGCAGCGCCAGCATGTGTTCCCACCTCCATTTCAGTGCACCCCTCACACGTTTCATGGCTCCATAAGGGCTCCACCGAAGCCTCTGGTGGCAACGCCCGCACGCGGTTCCAACTTCCATTTCCGCGAAACCCTCACACGTGTCGTGGTCCCATGGGGAGCTCCACCGAAGGCCACAATGGCAGCGCCCGCATGGCGGTCCCGTTACATATTGGCACACCCTTCACGCGCTCCGTGGCCCAATAAGAAGATGCACCGACGGCAATGTTCTCAACGACGGCACCCACAATTGCATATGATTGGGCCCTTCGCCAGACTAACTTGTTTTTTTGCTTTTTGTTTTGGCATTGCCGGCCTCTGGGAGCCCTGAACCCGCCCAGGGACCGTCGAAGGACGACTCGGGATGAAAAACTGGCCCTGGGGACGTTGTCCAGGCCTGGGCGACGAAGAGAAGCCGGCCTAGACGTGCCCGCGTCGCGACGGAGTCGCGACGTGAGGCTCTTCGCTATTGTGGTGCTCGGACCCCTGGGGGTCGGCGTCATGATCAAACCGTGACGTCGGGGGTCTGGCGCTGGCCTGCTGCCGCCTGGGCGCCAAGACGAGAACCGGGCCTCACGCGAGAGAACACCGAAGCCTCACGCGGCGGCCTGCGCGGGCCGCCAGCGCGGCACGCAGCAGCGGAAGCGAGGGCGCTCGCGCACGACCTCGCGCGGAGAGCTTGCGCACGAGTGTCCGCGCAGTCGGCCCAGTTTTCCTCTGGGCGCCCTCCGGGGGCCTCTCGGGGCGGAAGGCTCGGGCTTTCGCTCCGTGCTCCATCTCTGGGGCCCCTCTTTGGGGGCCGTCTTGGGGCCCCCTTGGACCGCCCCGGGCGTCTCTTTGGGGCCGTCCTGGGGCCCCCCCCCGGGGCCGTCTTGGGGCCCTCCTGCCGCCTGGGGACAATCTTGGGAGCCCCGTGGGACCTCGGAGACCGCCGGGACCTGCAGCTGCCTGGCCGGCGCCGGGGCCGGGGCCGGTGGGGCCAGGCTCTCCGTGGGCGCGGGGGCGGCGTGCTGCCCGGGCAGCCGGCTCTCCTGCTGGGCTTTCTGCTCGTGCCACTGCCGCGCGAGCGATGGCCTTCTCTCCTCGGCGGCGAGCGCGGGGGGGGGCAGTGAGGAGGGGCGGGCCTTCTCAGGAGGCTCGGAAGTCTCCCTTGCCCTCTGCGAAGTTTTCGAGGCCTTCCCCGAAGGCGCAGACAACCTCTCAGAAGGCGCGAGGGCTTCCGAGAAGTCCCGCCGCCCTATGAGGAGGCCTCCTCCTTCTCGCTTCCCCCCCTCGCTCGCCGCCGATCTCCTGCTCCACCCACGCGAGCTCGTCCCCTGGTCGGCCACGCGCAAAGGGCGACCCTGGGCGCAAGAGTGACCTCTGGTGGCGCGGCTTCTCGAGGGGCCGCGGGAGGCACCCAACCCAAGCCCAGGCAAGACGCTACTTGTGCTACCGCGCCGCCTTCGGCGATCGGGGGACCCCGCTGGGCCCGCACCAGAGGTCACTCCGGCGAAGAGGCCACTCTTGCGTGCCGCCGACCCTGGCGCGCCGCGGGCGCCGGCGCAGCCCGCGCCCCGCGCCGGTCTGCCAGCAACAGCTCCCGGAGGCCCGCGTTGCCGCGCTGGTCCGCTGTCAGGAGCTCCCGCAGGCCGGAGGGCCTGGCTCCCACCGCCGCTGCCGCCGCGGGGGGAGCGGGCGGGGGCCCGCTGGCCTCTGCCTGTGGGCGGGGCTCCTCCTCCCCCCTCCTCCTCCTCCTCCTCCTCCT